AGTGCAGTATCGGCTTATCGAAGAAGACATCGACCCGACGGACACCACCCTAGAATGACAGGGCATAGCTGTCCGGTCAGGCGATGTCGAGGTCGAAATATGCAACGTGTATATACTCTCTGTCACCTGCTGCCCGGCAGGATATCACCCTGACATAGGTGCGCTACTCAGATCTCTGGCACTCAAGCCTGGCCAATGATCGTATGGGAAACCTTTTGGCTGAGCAGATAGACGATTCGACATTCTGCACCATGAACGACGACGCCCCCACCAGGATTATGGGTAGCTGCAGCAGCTCGCCAGACCTCACAATTGCTAGCGCTGGCTTCATCAATAGCATTTCATGGCGACCCATGCTAACACTAGCATCAGACCATCTACTCATAATCATCTCGATCAATAAGCCCACCGACTTTGCTCCCGCGGGCCACCGAACCTACACCAGCTTCAACATTGATTGGGACGTCTTCGCGGAAGTTACCGAGAGCAGCTTCGCCGCCCTTCCCACACCCACAAACATACATACTGGCGAACGCCAGTTCCGCAGGGTAGTCACTGCCGCAGCGGCTCGCTTCATCCCGTCCGGACGTATCGCGGAAGTCCGCCCAAATTCCCCGGCCGAAGCAGCTGTACTAGCAAATGAGCGTGACCACCTACGCCAGGTCGACCCCGGGGACCCTCGTCTGAGGGACCTTAATTTGGAGATTCGGCAACTGGTAAATCAGAATAAGCGGAAAAGTGGGAGGAGCACTTGAAGGCCTGTAACTTCACATCTGGTGTGAGTAAGCTCTGGTCAACCGTGGGGTCCTTGTCTAACCCAACGAAGCGTGATGACAGAGTGGAAATCTCCTTCGAAGGTCGCGCTTCGTCGGACCCGAAGAAATGCGCAGCCTTATTTAGTAGGCAATTCACACTGCACCCTTCGGTAGACAGGGCCAAGGAGGCTGCACAAGCTGCCAAAAAACAGTGCACCACTTGTTTTCACCAGCTGTGAAGTGAAGGGGGCCATCGGGATGGCGAAAGCCTCCAAATCCATTGGACCCGACGGAATCTGTACGCTGATGCTAAAACATTTAGGGCCTAAGGGAGTAGCTTACCTAACGGAGGTCCTCAACCTGTCCATGGCTACTCTCATCATTCCTGATGTGTGGAAATCAGGGAGAGTGGTCCCACTGCTGAAACCGGGGAAGCCCGCCAACAAAGGAGACTCTTATCGCCCGATAACGCTCCTTTCCCCGGTCGCGAAGACACTTGAGGCCCTACTACTCCCATACTTCACCTGCCACCTGACCCCAGCGAAGCACCAGCACGTAAAGTGCACAGCACAACAACAGCACTTAACGCCATAAACACCCAAATAACTCGCGGCCTAAATCGAAACCGCCCCTGTGAGAAAACGGTCCTAGTAGCGCTGGACTTGTCAAAGACGTTTGACACCGTCTGCCATTCCACGCTACTAGAAGACATCGAGGCCTCCTCACTCCCACAGGGACTGAAGCGATGGTCGGCGAATTATATGAGTGGTTGACAGTCGTCAGTAATCTTCCGAGATCAAACCTCGAAACCAAGAAGGATTAAACAAGGGGTTCCACAAGGTGGTGTTCTCTCCCCCTTACTATTTAACTTCTACATCTCGAAGCTTCCTCAACCACCTGAGGGAGTTTCCCTGATCTCATACGCTGACGATTGCTCGATTTTGGCGTCCGGGAATGGAATTGATGACCTCTGCTCAAAAGTGAACGACTATCTCTCCAGCCTTTCTGGCTTCTTCACTGCAAGGAGCCTAACACTCTCCCCAACGAAATCAACGGTGACCCTCTTCACCACCTGGACGAAGGACGTCAGGCTAGAGTTAGGTATACACGTCGATGGCACACCAATACCGACTGTAAACAAGGGGTCACCTTCGATAGCCTGCTCTCCTACTCCACGCACACAACCGCAGTTGTCAATAAAGTACAGAGCCGCAACAAGGTCCTCAAGTCGCTCGCCGGCAGCACTTGGGGCAAAGACAAAGAAACGTTGCTGGCAACATAGAAGGCAATTGGCCGGCCGGTTCTAAACTATGCTCCGCCAGTTTGGACGCCGGGGACTAGTTGGACGCAGTGGACGAAGCTACAGACTTGGGAACACAACAAAATGCTTTGTAAGCAATTTCTGGTGGGGCAGGCACGTCAGGGAGCACCTATTCGTATACAAGGACGCAGTCCAAAAATACGTAGACCAACCACTGGACCCGACGACATACAGACGAGCCATCAACGACATTCATAGAGAGTCAGTTACCACCAACCTCGACTCTCGACCTGTGAATGCCGTAATAGGAGCCCAATCACCACCTGTAGAAGAGACGGAGCTTCAACTGCCAAGAGAGACACGTGTTACCCTGGCTGAATTACGGTCTGGATACTGTAGCCGCCTCAACAGCTACCTGTCCAGACTCGACCCCAATATCCCCAATGAGTGCCTGGCATGTGGAGAATCCCCCCACGAAACCAACCACCTCTTTACATGCCAGCTCAATCCGACTCAGCTAACACCCCTCTCCCTCTGGTCCGAACCCATTGAAACAGCTCGTTTCCTGGGCCTCCCGTTAGTTGAGCTTGACGAAAATGATTGAACGGATTGATTCGGTTGTACTGCTTTACCAGTTGCCGAATCACCAGGCGTTTTCGTGATCGGCCTGGCGAAGGTGATCACGCTCATTCGCTAGAACAGCCTGTCCTCCAGTAGGAACGAAGAGAGCTACATCTACAGTTCGCCAGCGTGAACGTCTGTTGCCATGCCAAGGGCGGCGAATATGACCCCGGTAGCTTCCACGAAGCCGTCACAGTCAGCTTTGTAAAAGTTGATATATCAAATATATATATGAAAGTTTGACGATCTGTCACTTATCACTAGTGAATCAAATGCAATATAAAAAAATTATGACCGATTTCTGCAACATTTCTGTAGATTTCCAGTTGAGCATCAGCACTAGAGCATCAAGAAAGCAACAAGTCTGCAATATTGCGGTATTTAGAGCATAGCTGGAAAACACCTTGTATCAGGGCAGCCGGTGACAATTCCTATGTAAACGTTAAATATTTCAAACTCAATATCGCCTTTCTGGATAGGAATACCCTGACATCATAGCATGGCATCCCTGTGGTCGATACCGGCTTGCACGAGACGATGTTGCACAGTATGATCGGTGGGCGAGTCGGAGTAGAAGGATGCAGAGCAACCCTGCTGTAAGGGGTTGCCCCAGGAACGAACAACGATTAAAAGATTGCACCGATCCAAATGCGATTAGATCGCCAACAAACATCCCTTAGCTGGGTAAAACTCCGGAGTCATTCCGATGCATAGAACCCGCTGCGTGGGAATGGTTTAAGTGCACCTTTCGCTGCAGTTTAATGAAGATGCAGGTTGAGATAGGGCACAATTTTGATCACATTTAAAATCTCTAAAAGGATTCAGACTTACGCTTATCCCCACATTCGTTAGCTAAGCCAGCTGCTTTAGCCGATAAGTTGGGCGGATTTTCGCTATTCGTTGAGCGGGGAACAAACAAGCTATAACTGTATTGGTCACATTATGGAGTTTTCGTTATCCCAAACAACGTTTAAATAGGAGATGAATTGATAGCTTTAATAAACCCTATTTATTCCACTTTCGCTTGTTCAACATCTCGTGCAAAACAAAAATTATTTTTACACTTTATATTTACTATGCCTCTTTTTGCATTTATCGATCGATTTCGCCAAATACAACATCCAGTGTACCAATGATCGCCACAATATCAGCTAACATATGTTGCTTGCCAATTTTATCTAGCGCCGCCAAATGTGCAAAACCGGGGGCCTTAATCTTGCAACGATATGGGCGGCTTGAGCCATCAGACACCAAGTAAACACCGAATTCACCCTTTGGTGCTTCAATAGCCGTGTACGTGGCACCAGGCGGTACTTGAAAACCCTGGGTAAACAGCTTAAAGTGATGAATGAGCGCCTCCATGGAGCTTTTCATTTCTGCACGTGAGGGTGGTGTTATCTTAGCATCATCGGTTTTTATTTCGCCAGCTGGCATTTGATTCAAACATTGATCGATGATACGCAACGATTGGCGCATTTCTTCTACACGACACAAATACCGATCATAGCAATCACCCTTGGTGCCAATAGGTACGTCGAAATCAACCAAATGGTAGGCGTCATATGGTTGCTGCTTACGCAAATCCCATTTGATGCCCGAACCGCGCAACATAACGCCGCTAAAGCCATAATTTAGCGCATCTTCGGCAGATACGATGCCAATATCGGCAGTACGTTGTACCCAAATACGGTTTGTGGTGAGTACATCTTCAACCTCGTCCAAACGTTCGGCAAACTTAGAAGCAAATTCATAGATGTCATCCATTAGACCAAGTGGCATATCCTAGAGCAAGAAATTTAAAAATTTAAAATAATTTTTGTTATAGTTAGTTGCTCAACCAGAAATATACCAAAGAAACGCCACCGGGGCGTATATAGGCTGCGTGCATGCGTGCACCGGAAACACGTTCATAGAATTCCATCATCTTTTCACGTTCCTCGAACAGCCAGAAAAACGGTGTAAGCGCACCCACATCCAAAGCATGTGTGCCAACGGCCATAATGTGATTTAGGATACGTGTGATTTCGGCGAAAAGTGCTGGAATTAAACCAAAATATTGTTTTTAAATAAATTCGACAAAACGTC